TGTTATTTAGTTAATATAGTTAATATTAGTTAATATTAGTATACTTTTTCAACATTTCACGAGAAAAACCACCTCAAAACACTGTTTTCTAAGGTTTGTCTCCTGGGCTACAGGAGGCTACACAGTTTTTTTTTTACAGATGATTATGAACTTTTCCTTCAGACAAAGACTACATTTTTTGCTTATGTTGCTGTAGTTTCTACATTTCTTAAGAATTTTCCATTTATTCAAGAAACGGTTTCTTTGCGTCTTGTAAGTTCTAAACATATTTGGAGAGTTCTTTCTCATTTTTTCTTTTCGAGTGTCGAAAGGATGTTTTGTAGTTCCTGTAGCGTTCCTTGACTTCCAAGCGTCATCTACAATCTCTCGCAAGTTCTCTTAACTTTGCGAGTCACGTTGTACACGGCGGTCACACTTTTTTGCGGCGTGTCATCGATTGTGTTAACAGGTTCAGGCATTCGCCACATCGTTGTCGCCTTAATTCTCAGTTTCGTGCGGACATTAACTGGTGGCAACAGTTCCTCTTTGATGCTCGATTTTCGGTATCCTGTCGGTTTTCAAACCGACGCATCTTTTCTCAGTTATGGGGTCGTTTGTTCCGATGATTGGTTTGCGAGGGCTTCGGCCCCCAATTCCCTTGTAGACTACAATACGTAGTTATATCCTCACAACTGGTGTACAGCTCTGCACTCCATTAATCACTCCCTTTGTTCCATTATTAACTTTTTAGAGGTATTCCCGGTCCTTCTCGCCGCTTGTCGCTGAGGTTCCCGCTGGTCGAACAAACATGTTTGTGTTGAGACAGATCACTCAAGCGATGACATTTGAAAGAATATTGCAAACTGAAAACCAGCTGGTTATGTCTTGGTTACTGTTATTATATTTTTTGTGTTATTATTGTTGTTTATTTGATCGCGTGGTTGTGTTACGAATTGAATTATAATACTCTAATCTATCTCAAAGCTGTCTACTTTCTATACCCTGTCCCAGACTAACCTACCTGAAAGCCATACTTTTCAAAGCAGCACCTACCCATATAGCTTATATGTGGGAGTACCGCCTCCCCAGGGATTTCCTGAAATGAGTAGTACAGTGTAACAACTGGAAACATTCCTCAGGCATGAAATATGGGCTTAGCCCAGGTCTTTAGTTTTCAGATAGAGAAAAAAAGCTACCTCAGTTCTTTGCTCATCAAATATAGGATACGGAAACTTAAGTCTTAAAAAGAATGAGAATTTCGAATTCCAGAAATCATCACATGATTGTAACAAGGGTTAATTGAGGTAAATACACCTTCCACCCTCTCCCCTTACCTCCGCCCAAAACTTGAATTTCAACTCTTACTTTGAAGTCGAAAGAAATCACATTATTTCTGGTTTTCAGTGTCACGCAATTCAAAATAGATCAAAATAATAATCAAAACCGGTCAATAGATAAAGTCCAGAATCTGGGAAATGAAAGAAGGTAAATATGCAAAGACTCTC